TTAAAATAAAGGACTGAAAAAAATCAAGCCCATCTAACCCCAGTTAGAATAGCTATGATTAAAACTAATTTAAAAAAAGAAAAGAAAACTGGGCTAGCCTATGATCCAATGGTTAAGGCAACTGGATCCCACATGACTGACATGCTATTTGAGTCTCAGACCCATACCGTGAGAAACACTCCAGGCATGTGTGCATGCCTGTTCAAGAAATCTCAAAAGGAGAAACGGAGAAAAGGGATTGAAACACGATGGTTGCATCAAAGTATCCCATAGGATACGTTCTCTCTCTCCTCTCTCTGTCTCTCTCTGGTGAGTGCATGTGTCCACTGGCAATTACAAAAAAGAAAAAGTGCAGAAAAACAAGTGTTGGTGAGGTTGTGGAGAAAAGGGAATCCTTATGCATTGCTGGTGGGATTGTAAGGTGAGACAGCCACTGAGGAAAACAGAATGGAGTTTCCTCAATACTATTATATGATGCAGCAATCCCACTATTGGGTATATACCCAAAGGACAAAAATTACTCAAAGAGACATTTGCACGTCCTTTTTTCTTGCAGGATTATTTACAATAGCTAACCTATTGGGTCCACCTAAGTTCCCAACTACCAATGAACAGGTTGGAAAAATATGGTACATCTACACAATGAAATACTGCTTATCCATATAGAACAATGAAATTCTGTCATTTGACACAAAGTGGATGAACCTAGAAGATATAGCACTAAGTGAAATAAGCCAGGCTACAAAAGACAAATACTGTATGCCCTCGCTTCACGTACACCAAATGTCCATGGTCTCTAGGGGAAACTGAAAGACCTGAAAGCATAGGAAGAGAAAGAGACAGAGTAGTGATAAATATCGGAAGTTGTTTGGCGGTGGCAGTGGGAGAGGTTCATGAGAAAAACTTTAAGGGACACAAGAATGTGTATAAAGAAGGGAAGAGACTATGGCACAATGCAGCACTACAGGGTAAATAATATGGGCAGTTTAACACATATTTCAAAACGAACAAAAAATGCAAGTAGAAATTTTATTCAAATGTGCACAATGCAAAGTAATGATCAACATTTAAGAAGATGAATATGTATATTCTTTTTTTTTAATTTTGGGAGTTTTTTTTTGCTATAGGGCGCATGCACTCACCAGAGAGACAGAGAGATAGAAAGTGAGAAATCACCTCCCAGGGAGATGGCTACGCCACAATCCCTTCTCCTCCATTCTCCTCTCAGGATCTTGGGCACGCACACACATGAGCCCAGCGTCAGTTTAAGCCACCGGGTCCGGGACTTGAACCATGGTCGACTACATGGTAGTCCAGCAATGTAGCCATTACGCCATCTGCTGGTCCCTCAATATGTATAGTCTTTAATTATGCACCATACACATACTTTAAAATAGCATACTGTATCACATAGTGATGTACATTAAATACATGTAAACTAGAATTTATCATTTTAGAAAAAGTACTTGCTGAATCTAGTCCTTGGCTCTTAATTATAAATAACCATGTGGTATCCAGCTCCTTTACCCACTAGAATATAAAGCTGGCCTGGAAAAGGTGTTTTAAGCAATGTAAGTTTGGTAGTAGGGTGTAAGTAAATAATTTTTGCCTTACCCGGAAACAATAATTATTCCTAAATTTCCATATTTGTTTTAGAGCAGAAGAGTGGGTAGGAGATGCCATTGGTTTTAAGAAAAGTTTTTGAGTTTCAGCATTATCTCTATAGCTACTACTTATGTCTTATTTGAGCTTGATGAAGCTGCTGAGTCTCTGAACCTCAGTTTCCTCATCTGAGAGAGCACTAAGGGTTAACACATTTGAGCCAATGGCCCAGATGATATTGGCACATTGTCAGAAACTTCTGTGGACTGATTCATTCTTCTTTGGACCATTACTGTTCCGGATCTCTGAGCCACTAGTTGGCCTTATAAAAGGTTCAGCCCTCATCAGTGACCAGCTGATGATAGTCTTGTACTTTCATTTGTTTGTTTTATTTCTTTCATCAAAGATAGAGGAAGAGAGACAGAGTGAGAAAGAGAGAGACAAATAGTCTTAACAGGGCCTCATCATGCCACAGTCACTCCCTTCTCCCAGTCTTCCAGCCAGCCAGAACCTCGAAGGCATAAACACCCAATACAAGATCCCAACCTTGATCTTCCATGTGGCTCCAGCATTGCAGAGCTGAGCCCTGCTGCCTATGCCACTATGACTAAGCCAGTCTTCCACATTTTAATAGCTGCTCTGTATAAAAACCAGCTCTGGTAAACTTTAGTCTGAACTATGCAACTTTTAATTGCTGAAAATAAACATGTATTTAGCACTTATTACATGCCAAGCATGAATGAGACATAGCCTCTGATTCAATTGAGTTAGGTCCTATTGCCCTATTAAAAATTGATTAAATATGTACCTAAATGAATTGAGGTTTTAAACCTAATCTGAATCTTCTCTTAAACTTCTAGGGTTCTAAAGTTCTTCTGGCCTAATGACTCACCTTAAAAACATCTTTGCAGCTACTTTTAAATAAGAGTAGGACTACTTATCAGATTTAAGCATTATTTAGTTTTTAGTTTCACAAATCGATGGTAGATTTAACTACTATTTTTAATTGTGCAATTTTTAATTACAGGAGGAAAAGAAAACTTTTAGGAGTTCCACCAACCTCACCTTTGTAACACCTAATTTCTAAGGATATTTTTTAAGGAAGAAATAAGAAAAGATATTGAGTTATTTAAGTTACAGAAGATGATTCATAAAACTGAAGTTCAAGAACAGTTGTTGGAACCTTATAGTCTCTCAGGGGCCAACTGGACCAAGTTTTGCAGTTAATTGTTGCTTTCTTGGGAACCAGTTTTTGCCAGAGGGTTGCTTAGACATTCCATGCATTCCTGTGTTTTATCAGCCCACAAGTTCAACCAGGAGTCAGTTCCTTTTCTGACAATTAGAGCAGATTTGGTCCCTCTTTTAGAAACATCCTCAGGACAGTGAGTGGATATATTTCGGTGCATCATTTTGAACCTTAATCCCGCTACTGGGTAGACACCCATTCCCCTCATTTCTGCTGATAGGCTTCCTGAGCCAGGTAAGCTCCTTTCAAATTCAATTTCACAATAGTTGATAAAATAAAGTGAAGTTTCTCTGCCACCACATCCATGTGAAGTCTTCATGCTGGACACTGGCATGGTTCTTAATATTCTTCTTTTGAATTAAACAATTGAAATATAGAGAAAATTTTCTAGATTCATGTACATTATTTGGTTTGGAAAGTAGAAAATTAAGTTAGTCAGGTGGAAATTACCAGGCAAAGAATATTTTTTTAGTTCGAAATATAAAGGTAACTAAGATTTAATTTATTTTATAGTCTTTACAAGAGAAGTTACATATCATGAGCATTAACATTAGGGAGAAGCCCAGATCATATATGACTAAAACAATAACAAGAAACAGCTTAGACTATTCCAATTATTGTAACAAAGGACATTTTTAATCTAAGGGACTGATTCATCATCTCAGGTTTCCAATAACAATGCAAACAAGGCAGAAGTCAGGAAACGTATGTGAAAACCTACTTGAGAAAAAAAAAAGCTTTTCTTCTACCCTCTTAGGTTCTATGGCTGTGGTCTGTGAATTAAGCTGACAAAAAATTGACAGGAGAAAAGTAAATGAATTATAACTGATGTTAATATTTTATGTGACACGGGGGCTTCTTAAGAAAGACGTATAGCCCCAAAGAAGCAGTTCTAGTCAAGAGCTTGCATACCACTTCAACAAAGGTTGAGGAACTGTGGAGAAGTAACTAGCCAAAGAAAAAGGATTTGGACTTTTAAAGGCAGATGATTGTAAGAAAGTGAATAAAACATATGTAGGACAAACTAATAGAAGATAACAGTTATTTTACTCAGGTTTGTTTGTGCAGGCTCATTTTGGAATCTTGGAATTGACTCCCATCTCTAATGATAAAAGTCTTCTCTCCTACCTGGTAGTAAGAGAACATCTTTTCCATGGTTTTTATGCCCTGCTTTCAAACAGAAAGGGGAAAGCAGAGAGCCCTTCCTGCATTGTGTTTCTCAGTTGCCTTCAGCTCAAAATAATGTGGCAAAGTTGCATGTTTTGGGGTGGTATATTCTGATCCTCTTCAAGTCCTTTGCTCTAGAGGGCGTTTCCTCCCTGAGGAGTCAGGTGGAGGTCAGCAGTGCTCATGTAAATGCTTGATCACTCATAACTTGACTGTGATTTCATATGACTAAACAGCAATTACAAAAATGAAACTTTAATGAGAAAATGGGGTTCTGAAGATAATTTTTCCTTTTCTCAACTTTTATTTAAAGTCCTATTGCTTTTTTTTTTTTTTAGTAACATTGGTAGAAACCCAAAATTTAATTTGTGTTTAAGAGAAGACCCAGAAACCTTAGGATGACCCTTAGTCATGGACCGAAGGACTACCTCTCAGATTGGAAAGTGCTGATACAAGGAATGAGTGAGGGACAGCCTGAGTCTATTTGCATTCATTCAGTTGATATTCATGGACTCAGGAATGAATAAGACACTAATCTGAGAAGGAATTAAAGATGATTCAATAGTCCTTTCGCTCACCAAGTCAAGGACTGGAGCCATCTGCCTTGATATCAAGCAGCTATGTTGAGGGGACAAACTTCAGTTTTCTTCCTTTCCCAACCCAGCCAACTAGAAGGTAGACATGTGCCTATGTTTTTATGTATTCATTCTTGGTCAGCTGTTTATATTTTTGGAAGTGAAAGCTAATAAAGACAGTCTGACATGTAAAAGTATATTCATTATAGCAGTGGCATGGACTATTTGGAATGGAGACTCCCTGAAAATCTAAGACAAACTATCCCTTTCTGAGTAGCCATACTGACGTATAATGAGTAAGTCATCCATGAGAAGTTTCTTTTCTAGTGGAAAGAACTGGTAGCAAGCTGAGGTAATCCATCCTTCTTCACATCATTTAAAAGTATCTCCAGAATCTGCTTTCTCTCAAATGCATCTTCCTGTGTTGTAGTGCTCGGCAGAGTGTGGTGCTGGAGTACGGACACGCTCGGTGGTGTGCATGACCAACCACGTCAGCAGCCTGCCCTTGGAGGGCTGTGGAAATAACCGGCCTGCAGAGGCCACCCCATGTGATAATGGACCCTGCACAGGCAAGGTAGAGTGGTTTGCTGGGAGCTGGAGTCAGGTGAGTGGCGGGAAATGGATTCATCTGTCTGTCCCTTGAAAGAGGCAGAATAGCAGAGGGGTTAGGAACCATGATTTTGTGCCAGGTTTCCCAGCTGTGAACCCACTATCTACCCATGACTCTGGAGAAGCTATGTGTGCTCTTGAAGCCTCATTCAGTCAACAGTATACAGGATCACTGGGGCCTAGACAATCACTGAAAGAAACATCCCTGCCCTCAGAGAGCCTGTGATTTGGCATGGTTTCTAATCTATAAAATACTAGTAATGAAGGCACCTGATGAAGAAACTTAATCTGTTATTAGATTGCTAAGAGAAATACCTGAAACTTGATGACTTATAAAAAAGTCTAACTTATAAACTTATAAACCCCTTCCAAAGGGGTTTACTATCTCAGAAAGAGAGAGAAAAAGAGAGAGCGAGCAAGGTGTAGGTAACTCTTTTAACAACCAGCCCTGATGAAAACCCCTCTCACCAGTGCTAAAATCTCCATGAAACATCTATTTGTTCATAAATGTATTCCTTATGTGATTCAATCACTGTGATCCAGTCACCACCCTTTAGGCCTTACCACCTCTCAACATCCAATTTCCAATCAGGAAATTAGGGAACAAATCGTTATTCAGACCGTAACAGAAGGTAATTTTAGAAACATACAAACTATGTAGTACATAATTTGACACACAATAAGCACCACAAATCACAGCTGCTGTTGCTGTAGTTATTGCTCCTGTTAGTCAGAAGCAAAAATTTGAAAAGGTGGAGTTATATTCATTATAAGGAACACTATGAGGAACAGATAATACCAAATATCTTAATAAATAATTAATCAATGAATTTTTCCCACTTGTTCCAAGACTGAATGTGAATACCCTAAGAAAATATGACTGTACCCTCTTGTTGCCCTGTTATAATTACTATCAGTATTTGAATTCTTGGATCACTTAGCATTTAGCTCCCAGAGCTGGCTGACTGTCCAAAGGCATTTTAGCTGATGATTATGATTTGTACATTATCAGGACCTCTGACTCCATATATAGAATTTTATTTCTTCTAAGTCACTTATAAAGCAGATAATGCAAAAGATAAATAAATAATCACCTTATCCTTGTAAATTGACACAAATCCTTTGAAAAGCAATTAGATAATAAATTTCAATAATCCTGAAATGTTCAATTGTCTTAACCCAGTTTTCCAATTCCTAGAAATTAGTTTCAGGAACTAATTAACAGAAGAAAAATAAAAATAAAACTTTTTTTTTTTAACAGATCCAGTATCTTATTTTTATAAATTTTTTAAGGACCAACAGTAGAAATATTTAGACTTTATGTTAATGAAAGCGTGTTGACTTATTTAGAGAGATTTTTAGATTTTAATCTATTTTATATAATCAATCACTATACATCACTTAGCTTGTAAAGTGTATTTATCCAGCATGAATACAATTCATACCAGTTCAGTTGAGGATACTATAAACATTATCAACAGATGCTGTTCCATTTCTATCAACAGATAACTGTTCCATTGCTGTGTCCCGTAAATGTCTTGCCTCTCTGTTTTCCTTAATTTCTTTCCTCACTCTGCCATTTCTCCTAGCCTCTTCCTACACTGTCTTTAGTACCCATAACCCTTTTCCATGCTTCGATATACTCTAAACTTTCCATTTCTGCCTAGAGTGTGGAAAGTTGGTATATTAAGTGGCTATTTCCCATCTCTCTCTTTCATAGCTTGGCTTGCTTCACTCAGCAATAAATTTTCCATATTCGTTCACTTCCTATCAAATGGCAGGATCATGTTTGTTTGTTTGTTTTTAAGGCTGAGTTGTATTCCATAGACTAAAAGTGCCATACTCTTTCAATCCATTCATCTGTTTGTGGACATTTGGGTTGGTTCCATGTCTTAGCAATTGTGAATAATGTTGCAATAACCATAGAGGTGCAAGCACTTTTCTGACTGAGTATTCTATCATTTGGGTAGATATCCTAGGTATCTTTGAAAAGGTGGAGTTATATTCATTATAATGAGCATTATATCTTAGGTATCTACCCAAATGATAGAATACTCAGTCAGAAAAGACTTGCTGGATCATATGATAGTTCCATTTGTAGATCTTTGAGGAACCTCCATATTGTTCTCCATAGTGGCTGAACCAATTTACATTCCCACCAACAGTGTAGGAGAGTTCCCTGTTCACCATAGCCTCATCAGTACATTTTTTTTAAAATCTTAGTCATTCTGACTGGGGTTAGGTGGTATCTCATTGTGGTTTTGATCTGCATCTCCCTTATGCTGAGGGATGCTGAACAGTTTTTCATACACTTTTTTGGCTGTTTATATGTCTTCCTTACACAGTTGTCTGTTAAGCTCATTTTCCCATGTTTTAATTGGGTTGTCATTTTTTTTTGGCAGGGGGAGTAAACTGCTTGAGTTGTCTGTATATTGTAGTTATCAGTCCGTTACCTGAGGGATAATTTACAAAAATATTCTCTCATACTGAGGGCTATTGATTCACACTTATTATGGTGCCCTTTGATGTGCAGAAACTTCTTAATCTTATGTAATCCCACTTTTCTATTTTGAGGATTGTTGCCTGTGCTTTGAGGTCTTATTTAAAAAAATCTCTGCCTGCCCCAATGTATCCCAGAGTTTCCCCAGTGTTTTCCAGCAGAAGTTTTATAGTTTGAGGTCTTAGGTTTAGATATTTGATCCACTTAGAATTGATTTTTGTTAATGGTGAGAGATAGGGGCCCAGGTTCATCTTTCTGGAGATGAATATTTAGTTTTTCCAGCATCATTTGCTAAATAGGTTTTCCTTTTTCCACTGTATTGACTGGTGCCCTTTGTCAAAAATCAATTTGCTGTGTTTTGGTATTTGTTTCTAGGGTTTCTATTCTATTCCATTGGTCCACATGTCTTTTTTTGTGCCAGTACCATGCTGTTTTGATTATCACAGGTTTGTAATATATTTTGGAGTCAGGGAGTGAGATGATGCCTACTCCACTCTAACTACATAGGATTACTTTGGCAATATGGTGTCTTTTATGATTCTAGAGAAATTCTATGATTTTTTTTCCAGATCCATGAATAATGTATTTTTAATTTTATAGGGGTTGTATAATATGTAGATTAATTTGTGTATAATTGCCATTTTGATGATATTAGTTCTCCCAATACAGGAACATGGGATGTTCTTCCACTTTTTCATGTCACTTCAATTCGCTTTTTAGATTTTTTTATAGTTCTCTTTGTAGAGGTTTTTAATTTTTTTGGTTAGACTTAGTCCTGGGTATCTTACACTTTTTGTGGCTATGGTAAATGGGACTACTTTTTTCAGTTCTACTTCAGACTGCTTGTTGTTTGTATATAGAAATGCTATAGGTTTCTGTAGGTAGGCTTTGTATCTTGCCACTTTACTGTATTCATTTATCACTTCCAGGAGTTTTCCCATGGCTACCTCTGAGTCTTCTACATATACAGTCATGTCATCTGCAAATAGAGATAATTTTACTTCTTCTTTACCTATTTGAATGCCCTTTATTTATTCTCTTTTCTGATTGCATTGGCTAGGATTTCCTAGCACTATGTTGAAATGGAGTGGAGAAAGTTGGCAGCCTTGTCCTGTACCATTTTTTAGTGGAAAAACTTTCACCTTTTCTCCATTCAGTATGTTATCCATGAGTTTTTTCAGATGGCTTTTATTGTGTTGAGAAATGTCCCTTCTATGCCAATTTTGCTGAATCTTAACTATAAAGTCTTAATTATATTTATCAAACACTTTTTCTGCCTCGATTTATATGATCATATGGTTTATATATTTCTGTCTGTTAATATGGTGTATTGCAATTGTGGTTTTGCATATGTTGAATCACTCTTACATCCCTGGGATAAAACCTACCTGGTTATAATGTATAATCTTTTTTATATGTCATTGCATACAATTTGCTGGTATCTTGTTGAGAATTTTCGCATCCATATTTATCAGAGATATAGGCCTGTGGTTTTCATTTTTTGTCATGTCCTTATCTGTTTTGGAAATGATAGTGATGGAGGCTTCATAGAATGAATTTGAGTGGCTCCAGAGGAAAAAAAAAATTAACCATTTATATTTATTGTAGTCATTTGCAAGATTAAATTTTTTCTCTGCCATCTTATTTTCTGTAATATTTTGTTTCTTTCCTTTTATATGGATTAGATTTTCATTCTTTCTTTAATGCCAGAGGGCACATGCATATACATTTGATTGAGAGAGTA